CCGACGTATACTCTAACGGGTGGCCGCATCAGTACGTCTGTACCCGAACAAGCAATAATGCCAGTGAACCAAGGCTGTAGGTCTTCAAGTATTGTTTCATATTATTGTCCAAGGTGCCCACCTGTTTAAGACAAGCACTTTTCTCCTCGACAATTGGTGGCCGTCTAGGACAATTTCGACTACATACAAACCGTTTTTTTAAAGTAGAGATGTTACGGCGCTCGCAACTGCATACGGTCATATGAGCGCCAGAACATTAGAGGTGTTACAACAGATTAACAAATATAAAAAAATAAAAAGGGGAGATAAGGACGACAGATGTTTAATAGGAAAGAAGGAGCAAACCACATCAGAGCACCCGCCAACCACCCACAAATATAAACATGTAACTACTAATAAATGAAGACTTACTAATAAATCAACACTTTCTGTGGTAAATGTATGTTCCCCACGATTGGCACATATTAAGTACTTGACTAGATTGGTACTATTACTGACCAGGCCCCTGCCCAGGGCAATAGGGAGGTCACTCGGTGAATCACGATGAGGAGGCCCCTGGCCGTTATGCATACAGCCGTCACAGCGGCGATTTACGATCAGCCCTGGGCCAGAATTGGCCGCCATTGTCATAATACTAACAGCATGTACATGGATACTTGGAGCATTAATAGGATGTACAGACGGGCAAATTGGTCAGACGAACGAGAAGCACGATCAGCATCGGTGTTTTGGTTTGTTAGGGCACAAACAAGCACATCAACACAAACCGAGAAGTGACAGAAGGAAAAGGCAAGGAAAAGAAGTAATATCTACCAGTGGCACCCTCCAACCACCTGCATGATCTCTGTGAGTGCGTGTGCGTGTGTGTGTGTGTGTGTGTGTGTGTGTGTGTGTGTGTGTGTGTGTGCGTGCGCGCGTGTGTGTGCGTGTGTATGTGTACGTGGATGGACGGTCAAGGGGACAAAGAAACAAAATCGTATCTACACGACATGTTGGCTCGCTAAATGAACGGTCCAAAAAGAATAAAGGGTATCGCAACGTAAACCTTTAACCCAGACCCCACGGATTTCCATCCAATATCTCATTCCACAGACCTCTCTGATACACAGTGAAACTTTTAAAATAGCAAGTTACACAACAGAATCCGTTCACATGTCGTTCCCTGCTGCCTTTCAAATCATGCTCACAAAAAAAGTTTTTAAAAGGAACAGAATTGTGATGACTAATCTCTCTCCCATCCTTTATCTCCTCTCTACCCCC